ATTTACTACTTATGTTAAACCATGAATGTGTGATGAAGTTGCCACAATAAAAGCATTTATGCTTCTCACTGGGAAACAAAATCCTATGAATTGATCTCAACTTAACAAACCTTTGGGCGTCTATAATAGAGGCCTCTCCTCTAATCCTGCCAAGTGAACCCAATCAAATGAATTTGCCCCAGCGTTTTTCAAAGAGCCCCAGAGAGACAAAGGGCCTTCTACCCTTGGACTTTTTTTTTCGCTCGGTGCAACGTGTGGTTAGTTCAGCTGTAATGTTTGCATTGTATCCATTTCCACAAGGATTGACATGAGAACACTTTGCCGGGCGGCCCTTTCACACCATTTGCATGCGTGATGGGCATTATTTCAGCACAGAGGCCCTCGCTGCTCAGCATTGAAAACTGGGAAATGAAGAAGGCCCGAGCAAAATGTGCTACAAAAGGCTAATACAACACACTGCTAATTCCCCCTTTCAAACATGGGCTAATATCTAACTGGAAGTAATGCACCTGCAGCCGAATGCCTCTTAACCATTGTAATTGTTCAGTCACATTTCTAAGGAACAAGGAGAATACTTGTAAGACCATAGACAAACAAGTCTCTTTGTGCTGGCCACTCTCCTACACACTAGACACTAAATTGCACAGCCTTCCATAAAAGATACCTTAGATTGGCACAAATGTAACTTAACAATCTGCCTTTAGAACATTTTTGTTAATGTCTTTGATTTTTAACAATAACAACAAAGGGCCAATAAACTATCTAATTCGTTGCCTATGTATTATTTAATCTCTGAACTTGATGAGTACATTTATTAAGCTCTATACTTTATTTCCAAAGAATATTCTTTCATTATTTTAACTCACTAATATTTCCAAGTTTAAATTAAAACCAAAAAAAAAATCAATTTTAAGGATATAAAACATGCACAGAGTTCTCAACTTAACCTCAGTGTATTTCTCAATGTGTCCAGTGCTCTGTGTGTCCACTCTGGGCTTATTTAAAGGGGAGAAGGTGAATTTTGATATTTGATTATAGACCTGTATTAACACGGCAGCTGAATAAACCTGGTCTCTCAGCAGCTGCAGCACAGCCACCACCATCCCCACACACTCAGACAAACACTCCCTCAGATGCAGCCTGAACTCTGCTCCTCCCTCGCTCTCTACCTCTACACCAGCTGCACTCCAACACTTAACAAGGTGAACACTCCGGGGTCAACACTTCACACTCCACAGTGGCACACACAGACAGTCGGCGCATTTGGCTTTAAATATCAGCTTCTATCTTTGTTGTGTTAAATTGTGTAACTGTTTAACTCTTTGTGTCTAGAAACCTGGACTTCATCTGTGGTGAAGGATAGTAATAACTCAGTTACATTAGAGGAATTACATCTGATAATTTTTTTTTCACACTGACGAGGTATTAAAAAAATAAAAAAAATAAAAAAGGGGATATAATAAACCTCACCGGTTACTACAACTTATGAGGAAATCATGTTGAGCACACTGATAATCAAGATGTACGCTAGATGACCAGCAGAAGAAGACTGAGCTGGGCTACCTCAGGTGACTGTGTGTTAATCCTGTTGTAAACCTAAAGCCAGTGTAATCAGAACGCAGTGTTGGGTTTACTTGGGGCAGAAGGATTTGTCCAATGATGTTTGTTAGTGTTGCGTAGCAACACAGCTGCACCATTAGCCATGAAATGACTTGTAAAAATATATTAAATATAATTCTATGCATTTTATGTTAATGATGTTCAACGGAAATTCATAGTTGTATCTTTTTCATAACAGACAAGGACGTAAACAACAATTTCCTTCTGGAATATATAGAAGACGTCCCACCGTGTCACATTACTCCTCCTGCTGATTCAATCACACCGACCTTTGAAAATCAATGTCTCACGTTTGGTGCCACATACAAAGCTATTTAGAAACCCTTCTCCTGTGACAGGGAGGAGCAGGATTAGTGTTCCCTCACTCGGGGGACCCTGTTGGGATGAGATTCAATCTAACAAAACAGGAGATTTCTGACAGGAACAATACCACCACACAGAGAGGGTCTAACTTACTCTGGTGAGTGACGAGAGAGAGAGAGAGAGAGAGAGAGAGAGAGAGCGACAGAAGACCGCCTTAAAAAGCTCGACCAAAAATGAGTCGGGCTTATGTGAAACAATAATGGAGGCAGCGGCTCAGTGCTGACTCTGGTGCCTGGCTCTGCAGAAATTGATTTCAGTTTAATGAGGACAGTTATTGTGCTGATATGTTGCTAATGATTTTCAACAAAGTTGACAAATATTATTGGATTCTGGCAATTTTCACCATCGTCATCTCCTGCTGTTAGTTTTCCGGGCATAGACATACCATCGTCTAACCCTAACCCTGCTGTTAGTTTTCCGGGCATAGACAAAACAAAACACTTGTTGTTGAAAAGCTAAGTTTTCCATCCACCCTTGGAAGGCACCAAGGAGTCTTTTGTTGTTATTTTTTTTCATATTATTAACAATGGAACCTTTACAAGACTTCACTCAGAGCAGGAGTAAGTGGGCTAATACAGAATTGTTTTTTTAATGGTACAGTGTGCAAGATCTAGCAACATCTAGTGGTGAATGTATTTCTTATTCTTCCTAACACCCTTTTTGTCCAAGCATTTAAACCACATAAATAGAATAACTATATTAATCCCTCAGGACTTTCCTTCAGGAAATTAAAGCTCCAGCAGCAGTACAGCACCAAAATAACAGAAATAGCATGAGAATAGATACAATACAATTCAAACAAGAATAGCAGCACACCACCAAATAATACAGAAAACCAGGACAGTAGATATTAGTTTAGTTCAAAATTGACATTTTATTTACTTTCCTAAATTGGTCTTTTTTGTGTTGGTCCATCATGTAATGGTCTGAACAATATTTGTCCCTGGCTTATTTTAATTGCCAGCACATCTGTTAAATCTAGCTGCGAAAATACAGTGATGTGAAACATGTGATGCATCACAATACACAAAATCCTACCTCCACACAATCAAACGTCTCTGTGACTTTTGAACCGTATTTCACTTTGAAGAGATTGCTCAGGTTTCCAGCTGTGTAGAAGAGCTGTATCTGAAGACCTTTGTATCCAAAAGCCACCTCACTGCAGGAACAGGGAGAAAAAATTAACTTGTATAGGGGAGAAACCTGCTTCATAAATGTAGTGTGAGGTAATAAGTCATATTTATGAAAAGAAATCTTGAATATTTAATATATATATATATATATATACACACATACATATATATACAGAGGTGATAAATGGCATTTGTAAAAATGTCCATTCCATCATGCATCCCATCCCATGTTTTGTTCACCACCCCATTACGGGCAGTTTACAGCCAAATCTACTCCCATCATTATGCAACATGTGATTGAGCTTTACAAGCAATTATGCCTGCTGACATAATTAATGCACCAATTACCCAGTTCCCTTTGAGCTGATTGCAGCAGACCAAAAATAACCAATCCTAGTTTTAACTAATTTGGAAATGCAGCTTAAAGCACAGACACAAACTGTGAAGCCTACACACACGTGCACAGATGTCACTGCAAACGTATTCGATTGCAAAGCCTGCATAAAATCTACAGAACTGGCAAAGGGTAATAATTGCAAAAAAGTAACAAATAATACATTATACATATTTCATTAATCACAGTAATAAAGACAACGCTACATTTGAACGGAACTAGCAAACCGGGCCAAAATAAATAAATAGACCAAATAACACTAAATCATATGAGAAGAGAATGAATGTAAAAAAAAAAAAAAAAAAAGTTTTCTCATGATGAGCAGAGTAACCCCTAAAAAGATTCAAGTTTAAAAAGCTCCAAAAGATTTAATAATAATACGGGCAGTCAAGATCAAGCTGCTACTTCAATCCATTTCTTTCTATGTGCAATATAACATGTTTTTATGTATGTTATAACAAGCAAATGTAAAAATAACTTACTCATCCCCAAATATTTGGTGGCTGAACTCCGGGTGGAACGTTGTGCTCTCATCTTCAACATCCTCGGGGAAACGAACTAAATGGCGTTAATGAACAAGTTGTTATGATTTACAAATTAGCATTATTTGAAAAGGAGCAATAAAAATCATCATTACATACCAAGCTTCAAACATACGGCTTCATTGGTGTCACACTTGTACTCTGCCAGTTTTTTCTCCATTGCGTTTAGGTCTTGGGAAACATACAGTATTTTAATCAGTAACCATTGCTTTAACCAAACACGTCATGTCATGTTATATTTGCTTCACCTCGGTGTTTAAAAATCGCCACCAAACCTTGATATGAAGATGACTGAATGACTGTATTTTAGGATAAAACCTAACAAAATAAACAGCAAATGCTGTTTATCCAAGTTCTCTAACGAAGTCTCTTTGCATCACAATATGCATAATGGCGTGCTTGAACGTAATTTCATAATATACACGAATCTGTGCCAGCGTAAACAATTTGTTTATTATGAAACGCTTAACATGAAGACACAGACTGAAAAGATTTGACACACTGACAGCGTGCTGCTCTGCTTTACTCCACTGTTGTTTGTTGGCTGTGACATTAGCTAGCTTAGCTCGCTGTGTTTTGAACAGAATAATAGCAGGGAAACAACACCAACAGTGTCAACATTAAACTGCTGAATTCATGTAAAAGAGACAACACGAGAAATAACACAAGAACGCATTAACAAACTTACCCGCCATTTCTGCAGCGTGTTTAGAACCGAACTATATTGTCCCAAAAGACCCGCGGAATCGCAACTACTTCCGGGTCTTTGTAGTGCCGGATGTACCGGAAGTAGTTTTTGTAGGCGTCTGACCGATCGTACCTACGACTAGTGTAGTTAAGATTTGAATGACAGTACGTAAATACAAACCAAAATAAGAATAATGCTATAAGAATAATTTAATCAATGTACAAAAACTGCCCAAAAGAAACACAAAACAAAATAACGTAAAACGAAAATAATTAGGTTGAACATTTTTGCATGAAGATCTAAAAAATGAAGTACATGCAGGTAAATCTAAGTCCTGCCATCATACTAGCCTATTATGTCTTCCAGCAGCACCAATGAATGACCTACACTCAGACATGTTTAAGGCACTGTAATTTTACATCAACTACACTGTCATCAGTAGATTATCCCTTCACAGATCACACCGTACCGCTGCAATCCTCAGCCAACAATTTGTATCTAGGCACCGCATGCTGCTTGATCTCTGAACTTCAAACTACAGTCATTAGACTTTATCTCGGGAAATGCAGGAGCCAAGATGATACAGTATTATAGTGACCAATTGCTTTGTGTGCGCCTGTACTGATAGAACCAGTGTCATAAGTCAAGTGGTGTTACAATTTAGACAAATGGCCTCAAAACCTGTTTGTTTGTTTAACAAACAAATAAAGGTATTGAGTCATTGACAAATCAATTTCTAATCAAGTTGGCAATTTCTTAAATACAAAAGATACTAAGATGCATTGTTACTAAGCAAAAATAAAATAAGAAATAAATAAAAAGGAAATTATCTTTTAATTTCAGGAGAAATGTTTAGCTAAACCCAGCAATGAGAAACAGCCTGTGGTGGCTACCAGGCACTGATTGGCTAATAGAGGAGGAACTACTGTAAAACTAATATGAAACTTGGAGTCTTTGGTCATAACTAAGTATTCTGATGGCATTGACATGAAGCCACCCTATAACGATACAACATATTATTCACCAGTAAAATGAATAGATTTAAACTATATAAAAAAGATTTTTAAAAAATAGGCTCATATTGACCATCCTGTAATAAGTTGAAGCCCAAGGAGATTGTTTATCCGCCCCTGAATAATTGTCTTGTGTTTGAATCTACGCATCATTACGTGTACTGCAGCGCTGTCACCACACGAGTTTCTGTTTCTTCTGGTCCTGCACAGTCACTCCTCCACTCACTGTTTACACTGTCACAGCATCAGCACCTCCGTGTCCTCACCTGACCCACGGAGATACAGGAAACTCTGCAGCCAGCTCCCTCTCTCTCCCTCTCTCTCGCTCTTTCTGAGCTTCTTCTCTCCTCACACCTCCTGCAGCGTCTCCTAAGCTCACACACACACGCACACGCACACACACACACACACACACGCTGCTCTGACTGGCTGAGGACAGAAAAGGACAATACTTGGCTAAATTTATTTCGGAGTGTGTGGTGCTGCCGTCATGCCCGCTTTCATCCCGATGCCCAGCGCCTGCGCCACTCCTCGGCAGCTGACGTCACAGCCAGCATGGCGGTCAAGGTGACTCCGTCAATATTATCTCTCATCACATTATTATTTTTATAGGGTGTATAGTTTAGGCAGGAGTCGCTGTCGCATGACGACGGAGAAGGTGCCAGGGCGTGTGGCGTGCGACTCTCACCGCGGCGGATTGTCCCTTTATTTTTTAATCCTTTGCATCTTTACACAGGCGCATCTCTGCATGCCGGCCTCAGACACACACCTTCTTTCCTCTGTTGCATTGGTCTGTCTTATATTTTAACCAGAACTGTTTTTATTCTGTGCTGTGCAGACCGTTGCAGCTGTTGTACAAGTGGATTCAATCCTGAACCCATCCAGTCTGTAAGATGAGGATACATTTTCGTCTTTTAAAAACTCTCACTGCTCTGTTTTCAGGTGCAAACAACCAAAAGAGCCGACCCCCATGATTTGAAGACAATCTTTCTCAAGGTAAGATTTTAAAAAGCCAGTATTCAAAGCTTTGACGTGCACAGTTAGTGTTGACTGCATGTCCAAGTAAGTCTCCGTGCGGTGTCCATTGGGATACATAGTTGAGTAAAGGTCACAGAAATGCTTGGACTAATTTTGGACCTGCTTCAAGAAGGGATCTCCCCTTGCTCTCACCCCATGCCCTGTGAGTAGTGCAGGCATGTTTAAATCATAGACGGCACATGAGAACTGGACAGAGACAACCACAGACCTCCGTCTCGACTCGAAGGGACCTGGTTTACAAATAGGTCCTTATAAAATCAGGCCCATTTTTGCTGGTGGTAGGATTAAATTTGTCATTTTTAAAAATATTATATTCAGATCATGGCATCTGATTCCTGACTTAGATCCTAGAGAAAACACAAAATATGAGTAGGTTATATCACAGCCATAACGTAGCTTTTCTTCAGCCTGCTTCAATTACATCTCTCTGTCTCTCCTGGTGTGCCCTTCACCTTCAACAACTAGACTAGACTCTTATAGAAATCTGTGAGGACCAAAGTAGGATGCACACTGTTGCTTGAGCCATGTAACAACTAGACTAGACTCTTATAAAAATCTGTGAGGACCAAAGTAGGATGCAGCTTATGTAAAAAGACTGCAGGACCTCCCTGGTCTAGTGTTTGTTTTGATTCTCTGCAGATTGATTCCATATTTCATCAGCGCTCCCTGTGACTAAAAAGAACTAATTCCTGGCCTCGTCTTGCGGATGAGTACATTTGTGTGTGAAACTTGGCCGACTCACAGAGACACGAGTCACCCCTCTGGTCCCTCCACGTCTCTTGACTCTGCTGTAAGAGGGCTGCATAATTTGCGTGGCATATTCAGGTGGAAGAGTTAATTACTGGAAGCTCATTTCAACCGCCTGTATAATTTGATTAAGAACTACTTGAGGCCCACTGTGAGAGTGAATGGATGTACACTCACAAGATTGAGAAATTGGTTGGAATTAATATTTTCTTGTAAAAGATTAATTTGGAAAAGTGTGGTAAATTGTAGCCTTAAAACCCCTTGGTTGTAAGCGTCTGCTCCCGCTCTTCTCTTCGGTTTATTCATCCTCTCTCTCTTCTTCTATCTGAGCTTGGCGCTCTCCCATGATCGTGGCCTTTCTGTTGCCAGTGCATGTGGTACTTGTGTTTCTGCAGCTATCACTTTTCAAACTTGAAACCCAAGCAGGGTCTAAAAATGACCTTATGTCCTAGGACCCAACAGAGACCCACAGCCTGAGCTGTGCTCCTGTGGCTCGGGTCATGTGGCATCAACAGCGTAAACACTGACTTTTTTTGCTGCTAATGCAGAGATAACACTGGACGGGGTTGAAGGTTTGAAACTTTTAATGGTTCCTTTTCTGGCTGCTTTGTAATAAAAAAGCAGAAAATTAAGTTTTGCTGAAACATCAAAAACCAATGACGACCTTAGACCTTTACATTGTACTCTATACTGCTCTCTGCTGTGCAGTTACACTGAGTCTGTGCATCTTGGCCGTGTGTGTGTGAGAGAGAGAGATTAGAAACTTACCATTTTATTGCTAAATAACATTTTTCATCTATCTCTTCACACAGTAGAATTTTTCTTGATCAAATCCAGATTTATGTGTCACTTCCACATGGTTTACAGCTCTGTTTGTTCCTGCTCTACAGTATGCCAGTGTGGTGGAGGATGGGGAAAATTACATGACCCCCCGAGACTTCGTGCAGAGTTATCTGGGTCTGCACACACAGCCACAACACAACCCCAAAACTGTGGAGCTGATAGCTGGGGTGGCCGACACCACCAAAGATGGGTGAGTGGCTCCAGTCGTGACAGGACGTTCTTCTCTCTGATCCTTACAGAACGTGTTTTATTTTGTCAAGTTTGTCTGTGTTTGTATGAGGGCCTTTGAAATTCATCATTTCCATTAGTCACAAATGAAATAATTACATTCATTTAATTTATAATATTTATTTTTCAAAAATGACACATAGATATATATACACATAGGTCGCTTGTGTTTAGAAAGCAGCCTGTTTATTAACTAAAAAAATATATAATGTTTAATAGTTGTACAAAAGAACCCAAAACACCCGACTCCTGTCAGCTACAGATGTATAACATGGAAACATGAGGTAATATCTTTTAAAAAATGTAATAAATGTGGCTCAAACCTGTAGACATCAGATATCGTTGACTAGTTCAAAGGGTTGGCCTTAAAACAAATGTATTATATGTATATAAGTTAGTATTTCTAAAATCTCTAACATGTGTTTTGTTAACTTTAACCCCCAGTCCTGGATTTATTTATTTATTTGTTTGTTTATTTCCACCTGTGTCATTTTGAAATTCATGGTTTTGTTTCATCTTTCAGTTGAACTGCCTTTTCCCCCTGCCGTTAACACTGCTGTAGCTGTTTCTGAGAGGAAGTGAAATTAGATGTTTGGGATTATAGGCTGTCAAGACACTAGTGCAGCACATAATCTCAGTCATGTCACAATGAAAACACACGTCAGTCATAAACAAACACTTCAGTTTCTGAAGCCACTGCGTAAGAGAGTTGTTGAGCCATGGAAACAACTACAGCAAATCTGTCAGATTTTGGAAAAATATCTGAATATGATACTGATGGGACCCCCCTCCCCCATCAGCTCCCCACCCTCACATCCCCTCTCCAGAGAATACTACAATATTAAACTGCATTACTGTTGTTGTGTAAGATTCTCACACTTCCAGGTGCCTGGTCTGTCTGTGTGAGACCTAATTGTTATAATTTATTCTGTAGCTTCATTGATAGCAGTGCAGCACCGAGACATAATCATGTGTTTCTGGAGCCAGAGACGATGATAATGATGATTCCCAGTGATGTCTGGACAGTAAATAGTTATCTGTAGCACCGACGCTCTCACCTTCTCTCCATTGATTTTAAATGTACTGGTATGTTTTAATATATTAAGAGAAACTGAATCCAGCTGCACTGCACTTAGACTGAATAAACAAACAGATTCACCAGTTCTCAAAGTTCCCCAAAAGCTGAGGTTCAGCTAAAAGGACACAAATATACTGACTACATTTTGTTCCAAGCATTTTATTAGGGATGTCTGATATTAGCATAATAAGAAGAATTGATAAGAATCGTTATCTTTTTTTTCCCCGATATTGAAAACCTGATAACGCAATGAATAGGTTTCACCCAGATGATGTGACCTAAAAATAGTTTTGCAGTGAAGGTGAATTATTGTCGTTGTGACACAGCACACAACTGCACACTATGAAATGTGACCTCTGCCTTTGACCCGAAACAGCTGTACCCATATATGGGTATCAGTTGATTGCATATCGGCATAAAGTTGATACCAGACATCGCTACCCTTTATGAATAATATGTGGGTCTAAAATATACCTACTATAATTTCCTTTAAACACATTCATTAAGACCAGTTATATTTCTATGATAGAGTGAAATCAATCCAATAATGAAGCTTAACAAATTTACAGTGTCCAAAAAATGCTTTGGAAGTAATGTTAACGAAAAGTTCACGTGCGCTGATCGTGATCACGTGACGTGGATAAAATCTTCGCACATTCTTCGCACAAACTCACGCACTTATGCATTAGCTGCTGTTTTCCAAGGTCAAGAATCGACTTTGAAGCTCAGTCAGAAACCAGATCACCTGCCTCTTTTAACCTGCGTCATTATAGTTGCTGTTTTTCCTCCTCTGATCGCTCCATCTGGTGGGAGAGATTATGTTGTTATCGTAGCTATTCTGATTTTTGCACAGATGCACATGGTCTAAGTTCAGACCACATTTTCTTTCCTTCTTTTTTTCCCCACACAGACTGATCTCTTTCCAGGAGTTTCTGGCCTTTGAATCTGTTCTGTGTGCCCCGGACGCCTTGTTCATAGTTGCCTTTCAGCTGTTTGACAAGACCGGCACAGGCACTATATCATTTGGTACGTACACTTTGGTTGATGTCAATTTGCTGCGAGTCTTGTTTTGTCATCGACGATCAATATTTTCAAAACAGCCTCACAGGGCGATGAAATCAGGCTTTCATCAACTGACTCTACTTGGACTAATTGGGGTTAGCTTCTGGTCTACATCTACAACACACACTGGTCGCTTTGGTGGAAAAATCCTTTTTCCAAATTGGCAGTGACTGCCTAAACTGTTGCATATGAAATATTATAATAACACACACAGCACATTTCTACTGTTGCTTTGTAATCTGAGCACCAGTGAGACATGTGAGTTGTTGAGAAAAGACCTTGTCACAGGTCCATATGTACAGTATGTCTACGAAGAATTCCATTATCAGCTTCTGTATCTGCGGTGCCTTCAAATACAGTACGATCCCCCATGTTGTGGCAACTGCTGCTGCACTTTAGTAGGTGGCGCTCCAGATGTTCTTAAATCTGCACATTTTCATTCATTTCATTTTTGGTGCTTCAGTCAAGCTGACACAACTCATCTGTCGGTCACACAGGAGCTCAGGCCCAGAGAACTCCGCTGCATCTTGGCCCAACATGATGTTTGGTCTCTGTGATCCTCTGTGGTTTCGACCATCACAGTAGCCTGGCTGGTTGCTAATGCATGGTGGTTGCAGTACATTAGCAGGAGACATTTCTCTCCCACTCTGTCAGATTTTCTTATTAACTGAAGACGGTGACCTGATTATTTTTCCATTATTTCCAAGCCGATAACTGTTTCATTTCAAAGCAGTGATGGAGTTGTTTTTAAAAATAACATGACCTGTAAAATGTTGCAGCTGAACAGGTAGCCTTCTTCTTTTTATCTGTTTTTTATCTGCCCTGAAGGCAGCACAGTGAGTGAGCAGTTTGAACATCTCATATCATTACCAGGCTGATGTGACCAGAAGAGAAATCATGGCAGTGTGCTGTGAAGCAGTAGGTACAGGTTCACTGAGCAGCACATCTGCTTCTATAGTGCGTGTCTGTGCAAAGGACTTTTCTGAAGGTGACTGAAATTGGGAGCAGCGCTCCGAGGGAGAATCTCTGAACAGTCTCAAAATGTAAAAGGAATGAGTTGGTTTTTTTTTAAACAACTCATTCGGCCGACCTCTTTTCTTCATTCTAAAAACTCTCACCAAATGAAACACTTGAATAAGTTGGACGTGACAGCTGTAACAGCCCTGTTTTCCCCCCTTTTTCTCATTCTGTCACTCCTTCAGAGAATGTACGAGACATCTTCAGCCAGACCACCGTTCATCACCACATCCCTTTCAACTGGGACTGTGACTTCATCAGGCTACACTTCGGCCATGAGAGAAACAGGCAGCTCAGCTACACAGAGTTCACACAGTTCCTACAGGTATGTGTTCTGTATGTGACGCAGGAAAAGTCAACACTTCCAGTATATGTCGTGGAAAAAAAATAAATGTGGCATTCTGGGAAATCAGCTCATTCACTTTCTCGCCGTGAGTTGCTCGAAAACATTGACCTCTTTCTCGTGTGTGTGTGTGTGTGGTGAATATGAAGCAGCTGGTTGGCCGAGGTTGACGTGAAGTCTGAAAATGAAAGGAAACGTCCTGTCTGACTGCGTCCACAGCTAAGATAAATTAAAGCACCTGTGCTTCTCAGATTAATTAGGTTCATTTTGTCCGTTTCTTGTTGATTTTTTTTTTTTGCATCTCACTCATTTCTGTAACTTGACCTCTTGACAACTCCTTTGTATTACTGTGTAATATCTTCACTAAGAAGTACTCTTCTTGTTTTCCCTTCACAGTTTTTATGTACATGGCTTAGAGTTAGCAAACATGTAGTCAGCATGTGGAAAGAAGTGATAAAAAGAGTAAAAATCTAAGGTATGACCAGAAAGTCAATGGACTTTAAAAAAAAATACCAACTAACTACAACATTGGTGGAAAAAAGCTAAATGCTACCAAAATAATTCAAATGTATGTAAACATTAGTCTGGAAACATTTGTTAAAAAATTGAACATATGACTATCCTAGCAATCATCATCGATCTAAAATATTTAGTGGACGATTGATCGGAAATTGATTGAAAAAAGCCAGAAGTTTACATTAGTACATTTGGTGTTTGTTTTGTTCTTGACCAGCTTCTGGACCAGACTTTGGACACACTTCCACAGCTGTATTGTTATCCTGGTTTCCAGCAGCCTGGATGGAACGTTTTGTTTTGTATCTCACGTAGGTTCCTGTGATGTTTAATCAGCAGCAGTAACACTGAGATCTGGGAGGATCTTGGTCTGAAGTGCAGGGTTGAGGCAGATACTGGGTGGTCTTACAGTGAAACAGGCTGCACTGTGGCTCCTCTGCAGCGTGGGATCCCTCACAGCACTTTGTGGTTTATCATACTTGACTAGTGCTTCCCACTGCTGCACCAAAGACCCTTCTGTGCAGGATTTAATTTGCATGTGTCACTATAACTGACTTGTTTTTCTGTCTCGTCCAAACACATGTCACTTCTTTAAACTCAGGGTTGCTGTAGGATCCACAGTGTGTGTGTGTGTGTGTGTGTGTGTGGATGCTGAATAAGCTCAGCTCACACCTTGTGGGTCTTGGGAGTATTTGTCTGAAGGTGACACATCTTTATCTTCAACATCACTGAGATTCTTCAACAGCAGAATCCAGAAACCAAATGTGGATGAATCCTGCGCAGCCGTCCACTGATTAGGTTATCTGAACCAGAGTGTGATGAAGTAACAGCTCAGCATCACAGTGAAGTCCTTCTGTGATCCTCTGGTTGTACGTGATGGGCCCTGACAGCAGACACTGACCCAGGGTCAGCTTCCCTCTGCATCTCCGTCTGATTGCTCGGTTGTCAAACCGAATCATCCTCTGGTGAAAACACCTGCCGACCGTCGCAGCTCTGGTATCAGGCTCTGCAGCCTCACAGGACGTGGTTTTCATTAGTCTTCTGAGAGTGAGAGCGGTGATTAGAGCAGCCGGTGTCACATCTGATGACTTTTACATCTGCCCAACGCTGATTTTATTTTACTTTTCCTCATTTCACTGTCATTCCTCTGCTGACTCGTATGACACTCCTTATCACAGTAACATTATTTTTTTGTCATCTCATATCCCGAGCGTCTGTGTTCTTCTGTGTGCTTCGCTGCAGGAGCTGCAGCTGGAGCACGCCCGCCAGGCTTTTGCACAGAAAGACAAGAATAAAAGCGGCACCATCACTGCCTTGGACTTTGGTGACATCATGGCCACCATCAGACACCACATGCTGACTCCTTTTGTGGAGGAGAATCTGGTCTCGGTGAGTTTTTGTTCTTGATTTTTTTTTTTTTTTTTTGAAGGGGGGGGGGTTCTGTTTGACTGAACTGAATCAACAATTAGTTCTAAGACAAAACTGACACAGAAGGAAAATCAACAGAAGGCAGTTAAAGGATGTTTGTGCAGGGAGAACAAACACCTATTGTGCCTATTGTCATGAGACGGTGTCAAAGTACAGTACTACAGTACAGTACTACAGTACACGTCAACATGGCAACTCCAAATACAGACATGAGTTTGCTACATGTAGCCTACAAGGAAAAACAGCCAACAGTCTGAGCCACAGCTGTAGCAGAGAATCTTCTTCAAAGCTACAGATAAAAAAGGATTGCAGCAGTTAGAGCTGGCTTCACTGCAGTATTTTCAGAGTCAAATATGTCTGGTTAATGCATTGTCAGAACTACACACATCAATACAACGAAACTGTGAGGAAAAACTGTGTGAGAAAACCAAGTCAAGTCATCCATGTGTCTGTGGATTTGACTCCAGGCTGCAGGAGGCAACACCTCCCACATGGTGAGCTTCTCCTACTTCAACGCCTTCAACGCCCTCCTCAACAACATGGAGCTAGTCCGCAAGATTTACAGCACACTCGCCGGCACACACAGAGATGTGCACGTCACCAAAGGTAAACCAACCTAATTTCAACTCGTCCTGAGTGAACGAAAGTGTTATATGTGACGTGTTAAGGCAAAACGTTTGTCTATGTTTCACACTAGCCCCAGAAAAAGCTGTTACTTTCCCCACTTTGGGTTTTTGTTTTTGTTACAGAGGAGTTTGTTCACGCAGCCAATAAGTTTGGTCAGATCACTCCGATGGAGATTGACATCCTGTACCAGCTCTCTGGGCTCCACTCTCACTCTGGGTAATACAGTCCATTATATCATCCCTCAGGTTTAACTACAGCTAGCTAAAACCCTCAAAATAAGTTGTTGGCACAGAAAGTGAACACACGATACGATGAGTAATAATTTGTGAGATGATGAAGACCATATTTAACCTTTTGAGTTGGACGATGACTGGCCCCTGTACCAGAGGTTGGACATGTGCGACATAATGTAATGTAGAGAAAGTCAGAGTTTTACCCTGCTGCTGGTCCTGACTTACTCATTAGCTTCTCAGCATCACTGAGGAGTTTGAGCCAAACTCCTCTGACATTTGCAAAAAGGAAGGAGTTTAACCTTCTGACAGGTCAGCGTTATATAACAGCACATCTCAAATTCTCAAGTTGCCATCTCTGTCCAACATTTGAAGCTTGTTTTTACCCAAACACGGCAGGAAGAGCATGCTACAGGTCTGTTTATTGGCAGTAAAGATGAAGTTACTGCTTATTCGGTTTAACAAGTTGCCCCACCGGCTGATTAACGAGACCAACATAAAACACCAACGCAAACTTTACGAAGCATCCGAGCGGTGGGGAATATTTGTCCTGAACACTGACTAACACAAACAGTTTCGTTTTAAATGTAGGAGCCGTGGGCGCTCGTCCATCTTTGTTTGTCTGTGGTTTATATGAGCTCAAAGTTGCAGTAACTTTCAATCTCATGCCTGTAAAAAGTCTATGGAAAATCTGACATCACTGGTCGTCGATGCTTTTTCCTGGCCTGACTCCTCGTCTCCCCTGCTGTTTGTGCCCAAAGGCGGCTGAACCACACAGACATCGAGAGGATAACGCCGCTGGAGGAAGGAGCCATGCCGTACCACCTAGCTGAGACCCAGAGACAGGTAGTCTGATCCACTAGTCTAATGTGTCTCATATCCTCCTGCCTTTTATCAAAGTCCTCTCCAAAAAGGCAAAAAGATGAGGCTGCTCTGTGACTGAATTAGCAGAGTGCCCCGTGTTTTTCTTCTCTTGTGAAGTACATTACTTAAACTTGAAGATAAAAGTACACCAATTATACTCCTAGAAGAGGAATGGATTGTTGCGTTGCGCCTCTCCATGAAAGGCTCTCTCTCCATTCTATTCAGTGTAGCCGCACATACATATCAGCTGCAATCACACATCTGAGAAGCTAATAGGAGGCTTTTATCAGGGTGAGGAGTTTTCTGAGCCCTTAGCAGAGTCTGAAAATGGTAGAGAAGGGAGTGGGGGACGAGATGGATGTGGGAGAACAAAATAGTTCCTACTTCCACCGGAAAACATGGCCGTATCTCAGCCTGTGGTCAGAGGTCTTTAAACTGCACATGCTCCTGGGACTGGTGTTCAGAGGTCTGCAATTTGATTCCTGTTGGGGGGTAAACGCTTCAATTCGCAGGGCTCCCCATTAGTGGACGTAGGCTAATAGTTTAAACCCTTTGATCAAGACCTCGATCTTGTTAGCATGCAGCCCTCGGTAAAGGCATCTGGGGAGTGGAAGTGAGTGATCCGTTCTGTTCTGTTCTGTTCTGTTCTCATCTGGTGTGGGTGACAGGCCTCGACCTGCACACACGCACACACCCACAGAAATACACACACATCAACTGTTTTTTGTCTTTTGTGAGGACATGACTAAGACATAATCCACCCTAACTGCAACTCATTCATCTGTAATCCTAGTCCTTTTGTTACTCTAATCTGACCCTCATTCAAATCTTAAATTCATTTAAATTATGATCCTCAAAATACCATTGTATATACCAGTGTGTACCACAACAATAGAATGTTCTATCAGGTACTGTATATGCACAGCTGTATCAAGAACTCACACACGTCTCGCTCTCACTCTGTGTGTAACACTCATGAAGATTGTTATCAGTACATGGACGGACACGATCTGACAACATCAGAAACAGATCCACAGCTGGAGACCAGGGAGGAAGTAGCAGCTCATGTTGAATATGTGTAAAAAAACCATTTCATTTTCTCCACTTTGTGACATTTAATACTGTTCTGTGATGAATTCGACTTCATGTGAAACGTTTAAATTCCCCCTCTTCTTCCCACAGCGTATTTGGTTCTCTTTCGATTTGATATCCACAGTTAGTGTCACGAGTAATTCAAATCTTAAATTCATTTAAGATTTGATATCCACAGTTAGTGTCACGATGGCCACGTCTGTCTCCAGATTCTTTTGACCAACCGTTTCTTTGACTCCTTCACAGCACGGTCACGAAGCCTCTCGGTCCATCTGGCTCCAGGCTGCGGAGTCGGCCTACAGGTTTACTCTGGGCTCAATCGCTGGAGGTGAGTGACATGTCTGCCGCTGGGACCCCTGCCCACCCCGGGGGTAACTTTAGCCGTGCAGAGTGGTGCTGTGAGGCCCCCGGGGCGGGCCATTGTGCTGCAGGGAGAGGGGCCGTGATGTGAGGCTCCAGCATTGTGCTGCTGTGCCATCGGTGGCTCCAGGCTGTCGTTGGGGATGGAGCTTTGGAATGACACAAATCTTCCGGAACCGCACTCCCTGGAATCTCCGTCTAATTACACTGGAAGGAACAGATAGGACGAACCACTGACATACTGACATAACTGCCCCTCCAAGTGTGTGTGTGTGTGTGTGTGTATGTATGTGTGTGTGTGATATCCTCAAAATCCCTCATTCAGCAGCAGTCAAGCAAGAAGTATCACAGAGCCAGACCTGCACAGTGTTTGTTATACCGGATATTTTGTTTGTGGATATAATGAGCTGTTTACAGCTCACTGTGCTGACTCAGCATTTGGGTTTTCTTTGAGAATCAGTGTCATCACAGCAGTCTTTGATAGCAGACAAGACACGGCACGCAGACAGGAGTTTAGCGCTACTTGCTGCAGCCGTCTTTCCCCAGACAAATTTCCCACAGTCACCAGACTTCCCAGTCTGACTATAATAACTGTTTTTATTAGTTTACACACAAACACGGCTCTGTTTGTTTCCCAGTGATCACTAATCTACTGCTGAAGGAGTGATTAGCATAGCGTTACTTAACTGTGAAAGACAATAAAAGATGATAAGCTCGTATCATTAGCTGATTAATTTGTAGCTGGTTGGAGAGCAAATTAAAAATATTGTGATCAGTCTTTAGTCAGATTTGCCAAACTCACTCACCACACGTGAGGTTTTGGTCTCGTGTGTTTCTGGTAAGCTGATTAAAGAGTAGGAATTTTTTAACTAAATATAAAATAATTGTCATTTGGCAGTCATTTTTCCTCAAATGCTGCATCTAAAACGAGAACACCTGAATTTTATTTGAAATTATGTGAAAATGTATCCGAGGAAGGAGGATACCAGCAGCATTTGATAGAATTAGTCACAAATGTTCATTTTTCATTTGTGGTAGAAAAAAACGAAAGTGATACTTCTGTGTGTGTGTTTATGTCGTAGCCACCGGTGCCACAGCTGTGTATCCCATCGACCTGGTGAAGACACGTATGCAAAACCAGCGCTCCACCAGTTCCTTTGTAGGAGAACTGATGTACAAGAACAGCTTCGATTGTGCCAAGAAGGTGCTGCGTTACGAGGGCTTCTTTGGATTCTACAGAGGTAACGGCCGACACACGTGATCACATGTTCACATCGGAGGGGTGATTACCAACATGTGGCTGGAGTCTTGTAAACAAGTGGAGTAACACAGCATCAGGTGATGTCACTGTGCTCATATCAGTGACACGGTTTGCTAATTGATACCAGCAACCTTTGCCCCCAGTGTTTAGCGGTCAACGAGCCCAGGGTGGAGTCTTTTATCGTCATTCATCATTATCATTCATGTAGCAGCAGCAGCAGCAGCAGCAGCAGCAGCAGCAGCAGCAGTGTCTGATCCGCTTCTCCCACAGAGGACAACGCTGCAGAAGGCTGCTGACATTCAACACTCCTCCTCACTCCTCCCAGGGCTGTGCATATGAAGGTAGCCAAGACTGCCATCTACTGCTGCTTCAACCACTGCAGCTCTGTGCTGCCGACGCCGCCTCTCACACACGGTGAGGCCGACTGAGTCACGGAGAGACACGCTCGGCTGTTTCCTGGCTGCATACCAGCAGCGGTCACTCAGCAGCTCCTTCAGAAGTTTATCTGCATCGATGAGGGACGGTTGGTGAAACAGTACGGTGGTTATCGTCACCGCAGCACCCTGCCCCTCCTCTCCTGCTCAGGCCCTCAATCTTGTCCGTGACCACACAGCTTCCTCTGTTCCCCCAACAGACAGTGGGATCAAGCCTCAACAATGTTGATCCCATAACGCACCAGCAGTGTCATATTTTTGTCCATTTGAATGGAGCCTTTGTGTTTCGGTGCATCGGTTGTATCAGCCACATCTGTAAATATTTATGGGTTTGTTTTTATACAAAAACCCTGCAGCTTATATTATTCCGCTCTCAGTAGATGCATTTATTCTGCAAAAAAAGAAAACAATTCAGACTTGGTCTGTTTTACTGTCTCTCTGTCAGTTTCCCTAATGGTATCTATGAATAATATTTCTGCAGGTCTCCTCCCGCAGCTCATCGGCGTCGCCCCAGAGAAAGCCATCAAACTCACGGCAAGTCATTCCACTGTGTAGCTGAAGCAGTGTGTTGAGAAAGTTGTACTGATTGATTCAGTGCAGATGAAAACGTGCAGAGCTCAGAGGAAATACAGTGTCCGCAATCACCATGTGACTGAAACCACAAGTTAACTCTGGTGCCTCTGCCATCTCCTCTATGATTGACTCTCATCTGCTTCTCTCGTCCCTTTTCTTCCTCAGGTGAATGATTTTGTCAGAGACAAGTTCACAACAGAAGACAACACCATCCTGCTGTCTGCAGAGATTCTCGCCGGTGGATGTGTAAGAACCACTTTACATTTGGTGCACAGCTGATGAACTCACATCCAACACGTACAGTAAAATGTACAGACACAATTTCCAGGCCTTTCAGCCCTGTATGTTGAAGTCACCACTCATCTCACAGCTACAAAGGTAGAGCCTTTGGAGGACACTGCTTTTAAACCAAGAAAATATGACTTCCTCCACTCAGGGTTTTTTCTTGGGTCAAAAAAACGAATTGTTCTAAAACAAACACTTTCACGTCCTGAACTTTACAATGTTCAGCGTTTTTTCTTATTGCGGTCAACTAGCATCGAAGTCCACATCGGTCAAAATACAAACAGAAATCCAATACCAAGAGGACAAATGACGTACACACCCTACAACAGTGGATACTGTACTTAGAGGGAGAAATACTGCAGTATATAGTGTAAGGTATAGTGAGTACACAGAAAAACACTAGGATTAAAGTTCTGATTCGTCCACTGGCTGCGGTGGAGTGAAATAGTCTGCAGGTTGCTCACAGAGGAGCTGGGTCTGCGGGGTCGTGACCCCTGTCAGGGGTGTAATTGGAGGAAGAGGCCCTGGAGGGTCCTGGATGAAGCGGGGTCCGGCTCACTTTGATTGAGTCTGACAACACTGCATACTTGAAGCGTGGTCCAAGCACAGGTCCTCTCACTGAGCAGCACTGAATTGTTTCCATTACTCTCTGGGAACGAACAGGACCGTTTCCCATCAGTACACCGAACTAATTGAATAACTTCTTTTCAAAACCTTAAACTCATTCATCTAAGTGTTTTACTTTAAAGTTGAAATTCTTGGCCTTGTTGACAGAAATTTTAATATAAATATTTGGTCAATGACTTACATTTGCTGGCCGTTTTGTTTATAGTGTTAGGTACTGCCGTAAATCAGTCTGTAAAAAAACTTTTTTGTCAAGTCAAATTTGAATGATATACACTATGAGGTGGTTTTGCCTTAAAACCACAGCGAAACCATGACAAAAACACATCCTCTCTGGAAAACTCTGAGGAATTTGTTGTCAATAATCTCAGACCACTGCTGCATCAAGTCTTCCTTCAGACTGTATCACGCAAAGACAAAGCCGCACATCATTTCTGTGCAAACACACAGTTGGTTTCCATGGATACCAGTGCATCTCAGAGCAACTTTAAAGACAATAAAAGTGTGTTCTGTGGTCATTCTGTTCCACGTTCAGCTGGTTTTGGTCAAATGTGAATTTTAGTCTTGTAGTCTACGCGCCAACTTATGAAAAATTCCATCCAGACTTTCATCAACAAATTTAGTGAAAGCCAGAATCAGGATTGGTCTGGAGGACACAGCATTAGTAGCCCCCCCCCAACCCCCCGGACCCTTCAGCCTCTTTCTTCCTCCCTATATCTCTCACCTGTCTTAACAGTAAATAAGAGATAGTTCTATGAACCAGGGTACAGAGAGAGAGAGACTACTTATTTCATTTACCAAGGACTGTACATTAACAACGGAAAATGCTGGGCATCGCTGACAGCAACATTCCCAAAATGAAGCCAACTTCATTGGAGACAGCTGATGAACAACTCACTTAAAACCTATGAGGTGTTAACGTATGGTCTATAATACCCTGAGATGTCTTTTATTGACAACCAAGCAGCTTGATATTTATTAATATCAATATCAATATGTACTTTAGTGCACAGTAACAGTTAGACTATCATTGTGTCTGCTCCAATTCTGAAGCATTGGCCGCAATAATTAACCAGCGTACGGCTGCACAGCAAAAAAAACCCCTGATGTGTATGTTAAAGAACCAATAATACCAATATTTATATTAGATTTTAGTACAAAACTTCAACAAGTTCTTAAATCGTTGAAAATAGTTGATGGTTAACAGATGAGTAAGTTGCGTTCTTAAATCACTGTAATGTGTTTCATGTAATCATTTCCTATAGAGTTGATGGTTAACAGATGAGTAAGTTGGTCAGTTTAACCACAGCAAAAATCTTTGGCTATGTTTGTCTGATAAAAATAAGAAAAATAAACACGGTGAGTCTAGAAATCAGTCAACTGTGATGTTTGGCCTCCGGAGTTTAAAGTTTGGTTAAAGTGACAGGAATAGCTCGTTTAATTATAGCTCCCTGGAGAGAGGTGAAGAAGATAAAGAGGAGGAACCAGTGCAGAAATCTTTTTCCTCTCCCCAAATGTGCCAGAGCTCTGTCGAGACCTTTGCTCGGATGTTTACAGATAAAGCCCTGCCCTGAGTGTCACCAGCAGCCATCCTGGGGCCGGGTGAGATGTGGGGAGGGTGATAAATGTTCTGGAGTCAGGGGGGTGTCGTACCTTCAGGGCACTGGGTGCCAAGACCCTGAGTCGTCCTGGTGATTCAGCAGCACTCCCCTGGGAATGGGGCTGCCTTGTGGAAGTGTGCGGGGCCAGGCTGGGCCCGAGCTTCTTCTGACTGAGCCCCTGCTCTGACGTGACCCCTGTTGTTCTTCCATCAATGGCCGCCTTTTTCCTCCTCCTGTCAAGGCCGCTCTCTGTCAAAATCAGTAAAAAATGAACTTTTTGTTCAGATGTTTGTGGAGATAATTTGAAGATTCCTTCTCTAAAGAAATGCTTACACATCATATAATCGTGTTCACCTCAGAGTCACCCCTTTAAACCTCGAATCCCTGTAAAAACGTAGGCGTCTTCTGTGTCTCATCCTGCAGGCAGGAGCTTCCCAGGTGATTTTCACCAATCCTCTGGAGATCGTAAAGATCCGTCTGCAGGTGGCGGGAGAGATTACCACGGGGCCCCGGGTCAGTGCCTTGACTGTTGTGAGAGACCTGGGCTTCTTTGGCCTCTACAAGGTAGGTCAGCACCTCGGCAGCGCTGTTACGTCCAGGGTCATACAAGGGCAGTAAAAAGTGTTGCTGTTAGACATGTCAACAACATCACTGCGGTTGTTGTTGTTGTGATATTTCGTCTTCACCTCAACCACATTCTCCACTTTGAAATCTGGGTCCACCATCGTGTGATATTTTCCACTTTGAAATCTGGGTCCACCATCGTCCGTCATCATTGAACTCTACAGCAGTGGAGTGTGTGTAGATACTGTGGACATAACAAAGATCAGGATTAGTATGTGAAATGTCCACAGTGGCCTCTGCTGACTGTTTGCAATTTTCCAAAACACTCTTCAACAGGCAAAAGGAAGCACGGCCGGTGAATTAGTGAGGGATTACGCTCTGCTACTGCTCCACATCCAGATCTCTGTGGCTTCAGCCGGAGCTGGAGACATGTCTTCATTCTCTATATTTTAATGAGGAGCAGACAGAGTGCGGCTTGTTAAAAAAAATGCTGACTTCCTCTTGGCAGAAGAAGCCAACACACCAGCGGTGGTAGTGTGTGTGTGTGTGAGGAGATGGATGTTTTTTTCTGGAGAATGCAGTTTTGTGCCTGGGGCCCTTTGGCTCCACCATCAACACAGAAGCCTCCGTATGTAGTTGGAAGGAGACAACTCCCAGACCCCGACCTACAGAGGAGGATTAAGGCCACATGGAACGTTTATTGTAGAGTCGGACATTTTTCTTACAATGCTGACATTGAAGTCAGGTTCCAAAAAAGATTGAACTTTGAAGTAAACAATCAGAGAAAATCCAAAAGCCCCCCCCCCACCACAAAATGATTTAATACTCATAAATGTCAACACCTTTGGTCCAGTGGGTCAGAACTGGTTCCACCTTATTTTAAGAGTTCTTTAAGGTACGTGGTCTAAATTCTGTGTTACACACTTATGTAAATTTAGTCAGACCCACTAACACTCCTTTATTAACTGTAGGGCCAATAGAACTGTGCATATAGGTATAACTACAAAAAAAAAATGAAAATGGTAAGTCAAATAGGAATAGAAGGAATCCTCAGATGGAAAATCTACACGCATAAATGTTTAGACATAAATAGAGGACATGTAGAGAAATGTCTTTGTCCCTCTGCTTTTCTTTTTGTCTTACCCTGGTATGTGAGTTTGTTTGTGGCCCTACTGTCTCTGTACCAGGCCCTGGCTCTGCTCCATCAGCAGCTCTGTTATTTCTCCTTCAGGGAGCGAAGGCCTGTTTCCTCAGAGACATCCCCTTCTCTGCCATCTACTTCCCTGTCTATGCCCACACCAAACAGAAGTTGGCAGATGAGGATGGAAGACTGGGGGCGCTGCAGCTGCTCACCGCTGGAGCTGTGGCAGGTATGAAATGTCTGTTGTCTAACAGCTACTGCACACTGTGTTTTCCAAATAAAGCTTCTGTACTTAAGCTGAATTGACTGTGTTTCAGGCAATTTTTAGCATCTGGCTAATATTGAGGCATTTTCAGGCAAACTTTTAATTGAAGTCTGGTTAGTTTAGGTCATTTTTGGCTAATGGCTTTGAGTCTAGATTTATCATTTGGTGCTAATAAACTAAGCTATATTTTTAGTTTTTGTTTTGGTCTAACTTTTTATGTTAAATTACATTTTAGCTTAATTTCTGCTAATGCAGCCATTTTTTCTCCCACAGCCCAGCATGTACGTTAGAGGAATAGGTTTGTCTACATTGGCCATAGGTATGGATGTTAGTGGTCGTTTGTCTCTATATGTGGCCCTGTAATGGACTAGTGAACTGTCGCCATGCCGGACAAGGAAGAAGTGGTAGATAACGAATTAATCCTCCTTTTAGCCCCCCAGACATGCTCATTCCTGAACCTGCTGCAGATTCAATTCCTACGGTGCACTTCTTAGCAATAATACAGCATTTATTGCTTTGTGTTGGAACAGTATTCTGCAGCGTGCACATAACCCACATGTAATCAAAGAGCCTCGTGATATCTGTTGTGACATGTATCCTCAGGTGTACCTGCAGCCTCGCTGGTCACCCCTGCTGATGTCATCAAGACCAGACTCCAGGTGGCAGCTCGAGCAGGACAGACGACCTACAACGGAGTAATCGACTGCTTCAGGAAGATCCTGAAGGAAGAAGGTTTTAGTGCACTTTGGAAAGGAGCAGGAGGTAAATTCACGCAGTACTGCTCCTTGGAATGCTTTTATCATATGGAGATTAAATCAGCAGTGGTCAGCTGTCAAGAATCTACAGCAGGAGGATTAAATCCTATATTGTTATTTTCACACCTTCTCCTGTCAGCTCGTGTCTTCAGATCCTCCCCACAGTTTGCCGTCACGTTGGTGACTTATGAGCTGCTGCAGAGATGGTTCTACGTCGACTTTGGAGGACAGTAAGTACTGCAGACTGGTTTTTACTGATCATCGGAGGCTCATAGATGCCAAACCAATCTGAAAGAATAAGGAAGTTCATGATATAAATAAAAAAGATTTTTCTTACACAAAATAATAAAAATATTTACTTTTTTTTGCAATTGATATAGGGATGAATTATATAGTTTACATTCATGACAGTTTAATTATCTGTTCTTTCTTGCCAACACCAGTTATAATCTTATTTTCAAATAATTTCAAACTTTTATTTATGTTTACCTGAAATTAAAAACTTCAGATGTTGGCAAAATAAACTAAGGCATCCCAATGTTTTGTCTGCACATGTTAGCGAACATAACAAATACATCTTACCTAGAATTTTTTTTATGAAATAACCTGGTCTCTCCTCAGTCGTCCTGCTGGCTCAGAGCCCACTCCCAAACCTACCATCAAGGGCCTTCCCTCTGTGACCGAAGACCACATTGGTGGTTATCATCTGGCCACTGCCACATTTGCAGGTGTGGAGAGAAAGTTCGGTCTCCACCTGCCCAAGTTTAGAGCCTCCGGTGAGATGACAATCAAGGCGACCGGGCCCAAAATGGAGCAAAACTCATAAAACTGTCACAATTCGGTCCAAAACGCTGCCACTGACCGACATCCCAGTCCGGTGCAGTCGAGTGTTGGTCTTGCTTTGAATGCTGCATGAACTCTGCTTTATCGTTGCGACGCTTGCACACATTTTTGTACATATTGTACTTCGACAATGAGGGACATTATGGCATCATGAATGTAACTGTGTGTTTTTTGTGCTCAGCATGGTTCCGCTGTATTTAAGAAATATGAAGATGTACAGATGTATTTTGAACCCAGGGAAACTGGAAACTAATTTAAATGTATTTATTGTATTTTATTGAATAAACCATTCAAAGTTTTCTCGTTCTACCCCCGCCCTCCCAGTCTTGATAGCAAATTTTTTGAGATCGTTCAGAAAAGAAAAAAAAGCCTGATCATTTACAGCATCAATGATTTTCTATCTCTATCTCAGCTCTAACCAGCAGCACTGGTCAAAGATATAACAATATAGAAGTTTAAAATTCAGCTGAATAAATCTGGACATTACAGTTCATACGAAGGAGTGAAGAATGAAGGCAGAAGAGTCAACATGAGCTACGGTGGTGAGATGTTTGAATTCTCAGGTTTTCACTTCGTCTTTGGTGGGAACAGAAATCATTCCAGTGGTTTTCAGCTTGATCGCCTCCAGCATTTGGCTTTAAGAAAACAACAACTAATGATTAAGGCTTAATTATTTATCATGCTGTGAATAAAGAAAACGAAAAAGTTAAGGCCTCTGGTTAAAGTACAGGACGACTGATTTGTGTCTGACAGCGTCATCTTTAGTGTCTGAAGTTTCCTGTGTGACTGAGGAAGATTGTTGATGGTCCAGGTGTCTGACCAGGTAGACTCTGTCCAGTTCTAGGTACAGGAAATCCAAACATGTTCATACCTCTTTCCGATGGTTACTATTCCTGCAGTACAGGGATGAAAACGAACCTCTGGTCCCTCGGGGGTTAAATATTAAGATGGCATTAGGCGGCGAGCCGCTGAGCGGCCAGCTCTTCTGCATCATCTCTGTTCTCGTTGATCTCTGCCAGTGTCCGGACAAATCGTGTCCATTCATCGTTTCGTGGAACTGCAATTTGCTGCGGAGAGAGATTATAACAGATTTAATGATCTGCTGTGGCGACCTCTGAAGAGAACAGGCAAAAGAAGAAAAGTATTTAGGACTGTGATTAAATTATATACATATGCACTAAACATTTTAATAGCTTCTAAATGTTCTCTTGATTTGAAAGTTCATGTCAAGAATTTAAAATATTTCTAGTCTTGGACAGAGCATAACTGTTTCTGTGATCATTTATGTCACATTAAAAAATGGGAATAATTCTCCAAGATGAAATTTAAATCTGAAAATTCAGACTTGGTTCAAAACTCAGCATCAAACTCAGGGAAATGAAGACAACCATTGTAAACAGACTGTGGTCCAGCAGTGAGTTGTGCTCACTTACCTCTCCAACTTCATAGACTCGGACCTGTCCATCAGAGTCTCCCACAGCGATTTCTCTGCCAGAATGAGCCCATCTGACCCTGTTCAGGGCTGGATTACCCTCCACTGTGATGCTGGCAGTGGGCACCTGTAACAAGGACACCAGAGAGAACCAATCAGAGGAGCAGGAACATCTCATTTACAGTCTCTTCAAACGCTACACTGTTTTTGCTCCTCTGAGGATACAGAAGACATGACTTTTCTCTCAGCAGACTACAGTACCTCAGTGTCGTTGTTGAGGTTCCACAGGTCCAGGTGTCCCACTCCGTCCACACAAGCAAACAGGGCAGGGTGGGTGGGTGACCACATCACGTCGTAAACGTAATCGGAGTTGTCTTCAAATGAGTACAAAGGCTTGTTGTTCTGCAGTTAGGTTTGGATTTAAAAAGAAAACAATAAACAAAACTTGTGTTTAATTAGTTTTGTAATTAATGGTGCTGATTTATTTTAAAGATAAAAGCAAACATTTTGAAACATACTAAAATACAGACTTGTAGAAATAGCTTCCTATTACAAATTATTTTTTGGCAAACTTTTAGTCACATTGCAGCTGATTTGTACAGGGCTGTTACTGTACGTGTATTCACACCAAACTTGTCGGTACAAATACACGTACTGACATTATTTTAGGTGCATGTGTAATCATACATTTTTTGTGTGAAACTGCTCTGATAAATCAGATTTCAATTATTTATAATTTATAAGAAACTAAATATTTGCCACTTTGTCACAAATTACAAAAATATATCACTTCACTTTTGTCCTTTTTACTACCTTTTTGTTGTCTTCTAGTTAAAGATAACTTAATACATAAGGTTCAAATGTGTTTTTTTAGGTTTAAAATAATACCACATGCTTCCTCTTTTCATAGCTTCAAACTCATCAGTCTTTTCAACCACATAAATAAAAACCTCAGACCTTCCCCTCAGTGTTTACCTTTGTGCTCCACAGCTTGACAGTCCAGTCAAAAGAGGAGGTGACAAAAAGATGGGAGAAGTCCAGGGGCCCTGCAGCTGTGTGGCAGTGGATCCCTGTGATGGGGCCGTGGTGGCCTTCAAACATCTCACTGATGCCTGCTTTACTGTGGAGATGACAGTGAAAGAGAGACGTTAACACAACAGAACAGAGGAAGACACAGATGATGAATTTCATATTAACAATAAGCCAGTGTCAAATAATCACTACAATAATGTTCGCATAGAATATGAATTGGTAGATAGACCTTTATTAATCCCACAGCAGTTTCCTTGGGGAAATTGTGGAATTTAACTAAAAATAATTAAATTAGATTTTTCATCACTCTCTTTTCATCAGATGTAAATATGAAAATTTTTAATCTACCTTAAACAGTTTTTGTTCACGTTTTATCTGAATGTCTTGATTTTCCTAAAACTAGAAGTCTTTAAAAGGAAGTGGTTTCCAGCCCTTAGACGACACAAAGCAGGTTATGACCTGGTGAGAAAGACTGCCCAGACCCTACTAGACCCCCGACAAAGAAGAAATTCTATGATGAAACTGCTACTTGCAGAGATGTTAAGACTTAAATCAAGATGTAGCAAAACAGTGTTTTTTTAATTAAAACAAATTTTCTGTTCCCAATTTGGAAAGGACAAAATTAATCGAATGTGAACAACTGTATTCTGTGCTGTTTTTATAAAATCTTGATCCCAAGTCACACAAAAACAAATGTGACAGAAAATCACAAATCACACAAACCTCTGTTGGAAGTATTTACATTTCTATTGACTAAGATCCTGTTATTTATATCCAGCAGAGTGGATAAAGATCCTGCAGCCACATGTTGCAGAACTGTTCCCCGATAATTACGAGAGAGGTAAATACTCAGCGTGAATGATGCTTATGCTTTATTAACTGTGATGAGAATATCATACTATTGTAAATGAGCTGGAAAATGATTCCCCTACTCAATTAGAGAGGTGAGCCTGCTGCAGATTAACTGAGCGACTATCCCCTCACTGTGGTGTCTGAGCTCATTGCAAGTTTAGGGTGAAGCTAATGTGCTGGTGTTCAGTGGCAGCTGTGATTTAAGACACATTTCTCTCCAGATGATCGTCCTCTGTAAGAGTTTAAATGAGAACATTGTGGGATGGACTGCAGCTTCAATTCTTCCGGAGTTGACTGACTGTAAACAAACCCTTTTAGTGACAGGAACACACTGAAAAAAGTGGATGGATGGAGGGGGAAAAAATGATTTGTTTCCCCCGCATGTGTGCCCTGTTTATGTTGAACGACCTTTACAAACACAACTGACAAGCGGAAAAGAAAAACAGGATGACTGGGCAGGAGTGAAACCTCAAATAGCAGGAGATCAAGTGTTGGATGTGCAGTGCACAGGGAAGTGAGTGGGTTTTATTTATTTGACACATGGACCAAGGTGGGCCTAAAAAATCCTCCCTCCTCAGTTTCCTGGCCATGTTCTTACAGTACACCAGGGAACCATGGGCGCTCCTGAACACACACCTTCCATGACGACAGGACGTGTAGACAGAGCCGTCCTCACTGCCCACCACAAAATTGTTGACATCTCCCAGAGGGAAGGACATGGAGGTGACAGCCACAGCTTTGGACTGTTTGAACATCAGCTCCATGCTGTCCTGTGAGGAAAGGAGGGGGAATAATGTTAATACACACACACACACACAGACACACACAGACATAAAGCCAAGAAAAACCTGTCAAAATCACCTGATGGGTTATAAATCCAAAATCTAAATGCAACTGGCGGTACATATTTTTTTAAAAAACTTTGTCTGACAGAGGTTGAGAATTTGGCACAGCTCACAAGGTCAATTTGAAAAATATGTTGAAGGAGGAATTAAGGTAAGGGGGAAGAAAAACAGCAG